ATAATGAAACAGAACACCAGAATATCAGAGAATTGTGGCTAAGAAGATACAGCCAATGTTGACCAGCAGAGCCAAAGTAAAAGAAATAAAATACTTTACAAAGCGTTTTCAAAAACTCCTTTTCAGTGATTCTCAGGGATACTTTTCTTTTTCATTTTAGTATCTGTTACTAGAAATGCAAAGTACAACCAACAGTACCTTAGGATCCCTGTACAAGTGTACTGAAAAGAGGATCCTTTGCACACTGAACTGTAGTGGTCCACACACCACAGTCTTCAGTTCCATGCCCGTGTTTACGTGTACACTCTACTGTGTCCCTTTTGTCCATGTGTCTACACTTGCAGTACCACGCTGTCTTTCTTACTAGAGCCTCTGGTAAATCTTGATAGTAAGTATAATAAATTCTCCAACTTCATTGGTCTTTAAAAGACCTTTGCATTTGCATAGAAAGTTTAGAATCAGCTTGCTTATTTTTCCAAAAGCACCACTTCTCTACCCCATTTGGCTTCTGTAAACAACACAACCTCTGTTTTTCCTTTAATCTATCTGACTGCTTCTGCCTATTTTTTGTCAACTGCCTTCATTGTTTCTGTTGGGTTCCTCATTCAGCACTCTCTTCAGGATGATCTCATCTACTCTCAAGTCTTTATTTGCCGTCTAAATGCTTATACCTCCCCAGTTTACCAGACCTAACCAGACCTCTCTTTTCTGACCTCTAGGCCCATGTAACCAACTATCTACACATACATAAAATAGAATTAATGATAACCACTTGTCCCAACCTTCTCCTCCAATGTTGCCAGTCTCAGGGGAATTACAATGTTCACATCAGAAAACTAGGCCACATCCTTCTCTTCTCTGGCCCCCACCCAGAGCCAATTCATCAAGAAACTGTCAATCTTTCCTCTTAAATTCACTCAAATCCATTTTCTGTATTCCCATTATTATCGACTTAGAGCAAATCATTACCTTCTTTCTAGAATACCATACTCTGACCCCGTTGAGTACATTCTCCATCATGCAGCAAGAATGAAATGTAAAAAATGCAAATCTGGCTTGGCCTCCTTCACTTAGTGGTTAGGGCGCCAGCCACATGCACCGGGGCTGGCGAGTTCGAACCTGGCCCAGGCCTGCTAAGCAACAACAACAACAAAAATAGCCAGTCGTTGTGGAGGTCACCTGTAGTCCCAGCTACTTGTGAGGCTGAGGCAAAAGAATTGCTTAAGTCCAAAAGTTTGAGGTTGCTGTGAGCTGTGACTCCACAGCACTCCATCAAGGGCAACATAGACTCTATCTCAAAAAAAAAAAAAAAAAGAAAAGAAAAGAAAAGAGGAAGTGCAAATCTGATCATGTTGCTCCCCTGCAGAATACTCTTTAATGGTTTCCCACTGCTTGTAGGATAAAGTACAAAGTTTAATATATCTGGAAAGTCTATAGGAGTGTCACTTGTCTGAAGGCCCAGTTTCACTGTGCTCCCCTCTGCCCTGCTGCTCCCTCTTCTGTCAGTGTTACCATACTGACTAACTGGGTCCTGAAATATATCACACTCTTTCTCATTTCAGAACCGTTTACACATTTCCCCTTCTGACTAAAAGTAAATGTGGTCTAGTCTAATATTATGCCCCTCTGCAAACAAATTTCTATTTATCCTGCAAATCACACCTTAAATATAATTTTTTCAGGTAAATCTTTTTTAAATGCCTGGGTTCTGACAGGCCTCCTGTTACATGTTTTCAATTGCTCTCTCTCTCCTGTAGCCTTTTCTAGCACTTATTTGTAAACAATTATTGCCATCCATTTTCCTTTGTAAACTATAAATTTTGTTATGACAGAGACTTCCTCTTGTCACATGCACAAATGGACCTCCAGTACTTTCCATGGTTCTTGACATATAATAGGTGATCTACAAGCATTTGTTGAATGAATAAATTAACAACTGCAATGATAACAACAGATCCTCAGAAGTTATCAATTAAGCTTTAGGAAATTAAATTCTAAGTAGGAAAGACTAAAATGACTACTGAAACTAACACCCTAGAGTTCACAATACAGGAAACTTACATTTTTTGTCTTGGTCCAGTTTGGTCTTTTGGGAAAGGATATGGGGGCTCTCTAAATAAATCAATGAGTGAAACAGCTTTATACTTACACAAAGGCTAGGAACGAGACTAGATAGATTGACATGTCGTGGTGCAAACATGTGAAGCTGCTGAAGGCAAGAGATGGCAGCTGCCTGAACAAGAGAATCAGAATGGTCCTGTGTTATTGCACAGCCCACCAAGCAAGAGGAACGAATTGTAGAAATTGTTGCTCCATTCCCTAGTAGAAAATTAAAAAATAAGTAAAATATTATCATTTTGTTAGTATCATCAAAAATATTCTTAGTAAATAATTATCTCTGAATAACTCCTTCTTCCAATT